AGTGCACCTGTGTCGTGACATGCCGCAGAGATCAGAAGAGGGCTTTGGATTTCCCTGGACCTGGAGTTAAGGATGGTTTGTAGCTGCCATGTGGGTGCTGGGAATTGAACCCGGGTCCTCTGTAAGAGCAGTCAGTGCTCTTAACCACTGAGCCATCTCTGTAGCCCCAGATTCAGATCTTTCAGGTATGTCCAACTACAGCCCATGTGCTACATGTACCTCAGGATACAACCTAACACAAAACCATTTACTTAGAATATCATGGGACTTTGTTCTGTTTTTTAAATTTTGTTGTTTTTAACTTGGTTGCATAGCTCTCCAGCACAAAGTCTCAGATGACATCCTGCCGCAACTGAACATATGTGAAAGCTAATGTAAGCGAGCCTTCCTAAAATGAAAGCAATACCTTAACTGCTGCCAGTCTCTGCAGTAAGGCAAAGCATAATGTCTCTGTACTAAGGATGAGTTGATGAGCAGTGTACTGCTCCCTCCCTTCTTTTAGGAAGGTTTGGAATGAGCTTCACTTATAAACTTTTTTTTTTTGGAGACATAGTCTCCCTGCAGCCCAGCTGGCCTGGAATTCACTATGTAGATCAGACTTGCCTTGAACTCACAGAGATCCACCTGCCTCTGTCTCCCAAGTGCACACACTCTTTTTTTGTACACAAGACTTCTACCTTCTTTCTTTACTTATTTATGTGTATGAGTATTTTGCCCATGTGCATGTAAATGCACCCATGCATGCAATGCCTATGGAGGCCAGAAGAGGGCGTCATATCCCCTAGAACTGGAGTTATGAATGGTTGTTAGTTTCCATGTGGGTGCTGGGAACTGAACCCAGTTCGTCTGAAGAGCAGCCAGTGCTCTTAACTGCTAAGCCATCTCTCCAGCTCCTTCTGTCTTTAAGTGCTGAACATTTATTAAAGGGAAAAAACACACTTCCAGACACATGTCATTAGAAATGTTTTTAATTTAAATTCAGACAATAGAAAGGGATCACAGAGAAAGCATCACAAACTTACACCACTTTCAAGAATGCCACTTGGAAAATTTAGTAGAAAAAAAAAAAAAGACAAGCCTGACTTTACCAAGTAATTTGCTGGCCTTTAATAGTACAACTGATCACTTCAGCCAAGTATACCCTTACTAGTACTTTTTAAACAAATTAACAATTCAGTTAATCTACTAAATTGGTACAAATTAAAACCTTCTGAAATGAAATAATCTAGGCAAAGTTTCCTAACATTTGACATACAACTTGAGAAATGAAATATTGACATTAGAAAGTTCAAACAAAACCTTCCTCATCTCAAGTAGGTGTAACCTGGATCTTGGCCCAGACAGTGCTTGTAGGCTGCCATGTCTGGACACCTTGCATCCAGCAACAGAACCCTGGGGCACAGAGCCATCTGATGCCCTGGTCTCAGGCAAGCACAGAAGCCCTGTGTGGTCCCTGAACCTCAGGTCTATGCTGAGCCCCCTTTCTGGATGAGGTGGGTGGGGACAGCATGTACAGCATAAAGAATGTAAAAATGTTCTTAAATTTTGGCAAGTTAATATATAAATAACTACTTCTTGATTGTCACTTTATAAGGAAATATTATACTACTTGAAAAAGCATTCTGTCTGAACTTCCCTCTTAAGCAAATAGAGGAAAGACTGCAAAATAGAGGTAGCTGAATCCTCTTACCTGTAATAAATGGGTGGCATCAGTCTCTGCTTTCTTGACATAAAATGTGAAGTGTATCACTGACAACCCCAAGATGTTGCTGGTAATGAAGGTCTAGGAAGAATTTTGTTATGTTTTCAAATTCAGCCTCTCTATATTTATTTCTCTACAATAAATTACATATCAAGCCTCTAACAAGTGCAAATTTTCCTCTTCCTTCCAACCTTAATATCCTTATAAAATATCCTTAAAATTACTTAAATCTGTAATGAAGGGTTGGGAGTACAGCTCAGTGGAAGTGTTGGTCTGCCATGCTGAGGCTCTAGGTTCAATCTCTAACACTAAAAGGAAAAAAAGTTGTCTATACAAAAATCAATGAGCCAGAAGTGTGGGGACTAGTAATTTGCAGAGCTTATTTTGTTTTCTAAACTGCTATAAGTAGTATATATTTAATTTTTCTATAAGCATTAAGTTAAAAAAATGAGCAATTCAAGAATCGGCAGCACTGTGGCCGCATTCCCACAGAAAGTGTATCTGCTGTTTCTAAGAATCCTCGGCTTTGTCCACACTACAAGCTATTTCAGCAAACACAGCATACAACGTGGCCCAGCAGTAAAGCAATTGGTGGCCTCCACTAATACCCATTCAATACAACAAACTGAAAGTGAGAGCTTTAAGACAAAATATAAGTCTATACAATTCTATGGTATAAAAGTTCTTATAAACCAACATTCTTAAAAATTGCTAACTTGATGAGTTAATATTCTCCACAATAATTTCTCAGGTTAATTCAGACTCCTGAGTTATGATTCCAGTACACATCACCTGAAGCTTCATAAAACTGGCAAACACCACAAACCATACTGTATTATTCTGGAACAACTTTGCACAACTTAATACACCCTAATGGGAATAAAAGGATTGTGTTTGTGAGAGCTATAAAGCAATTATATATTTATAAATACTTTGCACAAATAATTCTCTCTGTACAGCAAATCTGTGACAAATCTAAATTATCTGCATCTCACAGAACCTAGAAATTGAGATAAAATTTAGAAATCAATTCATTGACAAGAATATGAATTATCTTTAAACTTTGAAACCTTTGAAAGTTCTGTACCTCCAGCCCCTGTTATTAACTCAGTTTAACAAGAACTGACTACTCAACTACCCTCCCACTCTTAAAAGAAGTGGGACTGGCAAGAACACTGCAATCTGAAGTCCTACAGCAAGTGAAAAGACAAAATCCTAAGCACAGGTCCTTATGATATAACATGATTCCTTTGGCAGCAGCCTGATTGTGGGGTTTGGAATACAGGTTGGGAATCACAGAGGGCCCATCCAGAAAGAGGGCCAATTAGAGTGTGACATCACTCCAGTATTTCATGTGTTTTCCAAGTTTAGAGTAAAATTCTAACCAAGACTCAGAGAAACTGTCAAATTTAAACACTTATGATATGTTGCTGTTCCAATTGTGTACCCTGATACAAACCACTCTATTAAACACCAAAGTAAACAGATATACATTTTCAGAAACCAGCATGAATATTTAAGTGGCATCTCAATCAACGAATCTATCCAGATTAAGACAAGTTATTTCTGTTATGTCTAAATGTGTAGCTTCTAAGAATAAGGACATAACTTACTTTTCAGTGTGATATACAAATAAAATTCTATGGATTTTAACAACACCAATCCACCTTTAAAAAGAGCTTATTCACTGGGAGAACTAGCTACTGTTACATTTTTGTGAGAAAATAAGAAAAAAGAATTAAAAGGCTCTATGTTGACAGGATCTGACAGGTGTCCCCTAAGCTAATATTATCTCAATTCTGAAAACCTATAAAAGTAAAAAGCACTATTTTAAACATAAAACACTTTCACATAAACTATATTGTCAAATTTGAAACTAAGACCAAATTAGCTTATAAAACAGACTTTAGGACACTAGTTACTGTAATAGATATCGACACTCAAGAGTACTGACATCAATGGTGCATTAATGACTTTTAAGCCTTAATTTTAAATTACTCTCCTAACATCCTTTCAGGAGTTAAAAAAAAAGAGAGAGAGAGAGAAGTACTGTTAAGAGTTCAACTAAGAGCTCATTGCTTAACAAGCCAAATTGTCTTTTTGGTATATTTAACATATACAAAGTATCACTTAATTTAACATTGGTAATAAATGATTAGAACTAAAGATTTACTAAAAATTTTTATTTACTAAAATTCAGGAATTTTATTGTTTTTTTATAGTCAAATTACACTACTTTGAGATACATTTTTCTGTCAGTTTTATCTAAAATAGACAATAATATTGTCAATAAAATCTTTTGATTTTTTTAAGTCAAATTACACTACTTTGAGATACATTTTTCTGTCAGTTTTATCTAAAATAAATAATATTGTCAATAACATTTACTTTTCAATTAACAACAAAGTTCATATAGGCAGTTAGAAAATAATTTCTATGGTGACTTTAAACAACATCTTTAACTCTACAGTGATACTACAGAGTCATTTAGGCAACAAACAGAAACAAAAACCTGCTGTGTACTGTTAAAAATCACTTCTCGAGGGTATATTTTTTAATCTAAGGACTGATTTTATTACCTACTTTGTTTCATAACAAAACACTCCTTTTCAAGTGACTTATTGGAGTTGTTACCAGCAAACATTGTCATAGACCTGCAATTCAAGTCAGTATACCAGTGTAAGACTTTCCCTTATGAATTATATTATAAAACAGAGGTGCATACTTTATACTGCCATAATCACACAAAGTTATTTTCATAAAATGCAATTTCTAATCAATTTAGATTTGCAGACTATGAGGATATTAAATGATTAAAACACCACTGGGTGACCCCCCTCTGTTACAGAACACCAGTCAGGTGAGTGAGATCTAAAAGACATACGGTTGACTATACCAATCATCTCTGTGTTTTCTTGCTATGCAAGAAAAAAACATAGACTCTAGACATTTAAAATATTATCAATAATCACTACAGACTCACTTTTAAAAGTTTTGTTAAAAATGGCCTAAGTCAAGATGAACACAATTATTTCAGTTATATCATTTGAAAGGGTATAAATTATGCTGCCAAAGACAAGAAACATTAAAATACATAAACACCACACTGTAAACTCAACTATTTAATGTGAAAAACTAAATTTAAAAGTTATGTTAAGAGAACCTGGAAAATTCTCACTTTAGCAAAACATTTATGTATCTCCAACTTCTATGATACAATAAAATAATCAAGTGCTTCATGTACACAATGTCGCCAATGCAATAAAATGATGTCCTTAAACATGAACTGAGCTGATGATGTTTTAAAATTTCACTTTATTTTAGTTGGTGTTTCAGGCTAATCAGTTCTGTGCTAACAAATAGAGAGGGTCCTAGTTAAAATACTGATTCTCAAAAGTTATATATATATCATATTGCTTGAAACTAAACAACCATATAAAAGTGGTAATCATCTAAACATTGATTATGAAAGACAACTGGCATATATTCAGGCAGAGTGCTGAGTTCATAATAGTTTATTTACAATAAAAGTACTTTACTGAGGCTAACATGATATGGATTTCTATACTACGGTCCTTTAAAGTTATAAAAATATTATATAAAATACCACAGGCTTTAGAGGGCATAATTTCGTGTAGTTCTGATACTAGCAGCTGAAAAATGTTTATAATTTAAAAATAAATAAGCTATGGAGGTAAACCCGTTACAAAGCAGAAACACTGCTGTCTCACAAGGGTGAGAACTGCGGAACTCACAACAGCTAACAAAATGGGGAAGCGGTTGGATCAAAAGTTTTAAAAACCTCTTTCAGAGATTTGTCATCTGTTTCTTCACTGGGGTCATCATCTGGGGTTGGGCTCTCCTGTCCCGGCTGCCTAGCCTGTCTTGGATCACTGTACGGAGGTCTGATTAAGCCTGTTAAGCCCTGAACAGGAAGACTGTGCACTGCTGGGACTGGAACCTTACTGGAAGTCCTGAGAACATCTGCCTGCGTGTCAGCTGGCATATCGACAGGGACTTCAGTGTTTGGAGCGGTTTTCTGTGGTAGGATTACTTCTCCAGGAGAAGCTTCATTTTTCTCGCTATTTTTTAAACCACTTTTTTTCTGGTTCTCTGCATTTTCTCCTAAAGAAACAGTTGCTAGTTCTGATGCCGACAATGAACCTTTCTCCCTAGGATCATACAAACTAATGCCACTGAGAACTGAACTTGGAGTTCCCAGTGGAAGGCCAGCTGAAGAAGAGAGTTTAGGGACATATGGGGGCAGAGTCCCAGGATCAGCATTGCTAGGGACTGCCGTTGAGGGATGTGACGAAGGAGGATTGCATCTGGCTAAATGAGGGACAGTCTTTGATGTATGTGACTCTTTCATTCCTACCTGATTAGACTCTGTACTGGGTACTCTATGAAGCCGGGGGTCAAAATTCTTTTGCAGCCTAGGATCTCCTAATTTACCTCCTGAACTATGTAACTCTCCAAATTGTTCTAAATACCCATCTCTGTTTGTTGGATTTATTTTGGCTTTGACTGCTAATTTTGTATCAAGAGACAGGGTACTCTGATGATCACTTTTTGTATTCCATAACCTATTGAGCCTCTGGTCAGCTATAAGAGGGGGCAGAGGTAAATTGATTGAAGATACTGGATCAGGCTTAGGTAAAGGTACTGGAAGTAAGTCTTCTGGTGCCCACACAATGTGTTTTGCAAAGTTAGGTTTAGTTAGTATAATGTCCATTTTAATGTGACTAAACTGTCTTAATTGTGACCTTGGATCCTGGAGCACTACACCAGGTAAAGAATCCAAAGGTATTAAGAAAGCTTTTTCTCTCAGTTCTCTTTCTGTATCTTCATCATCATCATCTCTTTTGTGTTTGAGATTTGCACCAGCATTTGCATGATGTAAACCAAACTTTACCCCACCAGCTGAAGAGCCTCCATGACCACTTCCATTCCCTCTTGATTTCCTGGGATCCCACACAAGTCTAAGATCCATTGGGACAGACTCAGAAGACTTTCTAATGTCTTGCCTTGGGATAGTTCGAAGTCTTGGGTCAACCACTTGATTTCCTTTGCTCTTCTCTTTAGCAAGTCTTGGATCTGTAGGAATGCTGAGCTCTGTGGGAGGTTGCTGCTGATTCCTTAAAGTCCCTGTTTGTTTCTGTAACGTTTTCAGTATTGACCTGACACTACTTCCTTCTTCCTCTTCACTACTGGAATACCAGTTAACTGCATCATCTAAAGGAGACAGAAACTTGAAGTTAAAGAATGAAGCATTTGGGGCTGAAGCATTCAGGGCTGGAGAGATGGCTCAGTGGTTAAGAGCACTGACTGCTCTTGTAGAGGACCTGGGTTCAATTCCCAGCACCCACATGGCAGCTTCTGATCTCCATGGGCATTGCATGACATGGGTTCACTTACACACAGGCAGGCAATACACTCATACACATAAAATAAAAATATTTTTTTTTAAAAAAAGAGGGGCTGGAGAGATGGCTCAGCAGTTAAGAACACTGGTTGTTCTTGCAGAAGACCCTGGTTTGAATCCCAGCACCCACATGGCAGCTAACAACTACCTGTAACTCCAGTTCCAGGGGATCCAATGGCCTCTTCTGTCCTTTACGGGCATTGCATGACACAAGTGCACTTACCTACATGCAGGCAATACACTCACACACATAAAATAAAAATAATAAATAAAACATTTTTTAAAAAGGATGAAGCATTCATATTTGGCCTTAATGTAGATTAAAAACACATACTGATTCTGAACTTAGTATAATCACTAAAAGGATTGTTAGGGGAGCAATACAAACTCAGCAAATAGGGGACAAGGTAGAAACTATACCATATATTTTAGACATTTTATCTCAGCAAATGAGCTACTCAAACACTGAATTTAAAGTAACAAAATTAATACTCTAAGATTTATACTCTCTTGTGTTACAAGAACATTGTGGGCCTTATTCCTACCACCTATGTGACCTTAGTGTGTTGGGTATAATTTTATGAAGCCTAGCTAGCAATGGCCTTCTCTTTAGCATAGTAGAATTATTATAAACTGATATTTCAAGAGGGTGATAAAAGTACACAATAGCACAGCTCTGAACTGGCCACAGAGGATCTAATCTTCACACCCAGTTAGGACACAGCAAGCATACATATCTACACAAAGTACACAAACATATACACATGTGTATGTGTGTATGTATATACAGATATATATGTATATTTTTGTGTACACACACATGTGACTAGGTCCAGGCTTGAATATCTCATAGGATATCCTAGATATTTTCATTTTTACCCACCTCATTGCCCACTGGTTATGAAATAAGCAGGGTGTGGTTCAAAACAGCACACACACACACCCAGAATAGCAACGGGACACTTAGATCTCCATGTCTGAAAATACTTGAAGACACTAGGTCTTTTCTTCTTTTACTTTCAAAAGGCCTAGGACTGAGATTAATTCATTTTTAAGCTGTTGAACTTATTTTAAATATTTCTTTCTTTTTTTTTTTTTAAAGACACAGTCTCCCTGTAGCCCCAGCTAGCCTGGAACTTGCTGTGTAGACCAGGCTGGTCTTGATCTCACAGAGATCTACCTGCCTCTGCCTCCTAAATGTTGGGATTAAAGGCAGACACGTGTACTACTCCTGGACCTTATGTTCAGTATTTCTACTAGAAATTTCATTCCTCACATTATTGCTCACTTCTTACTCTATTTTTACATCAATGTATTGTATAGGAAATTTTATATCCTTTTGGGGTGAGTTAGTATAGCAACAAAAAAAGAATAGAAAACTGGATATAGTCCACTTAGAAAATAGATATTGGGGGGCCAGTAAGATGGCTCAGTGGACAAAAGCCAAGCCTGATGTCCTAAGTTTGATCCCTGGGACCCTCGTGGCAGAGAAAGAGAACCAACTTCGGGAAATTGTCCTTTGTCCTTCACACACATTCTGTGGTATGCACGTGCCCTCAGATGTATACATACATACATACATACTTACATACACACAATGAATAAATAAATGCAGTAAGAAAGTAGGTAGTAGATATGAAATATGTTAGCAGCTTTTTACCAAAAGAAATAAAATTAAGAGCATTAAAATCTATTTAAAAATGAGATTATTTCTGTATATAGAGCAAATAACCTGTATAGAATATCATCGATTGTATAATATCATAGCATACAATTGTGTGTGTGTGTGTGTGTGTGTGTGTGTGTGATGCACGTTCACATGAGTGTGGCGAGGGAAAGTGTGTGCATGTTTGCATGTGCATGTGGAGACCAGAGTTGGTCTTCTTCAGTGAGAGACCCTGTTACAGAGAACGATGTGGAGAGTACAGATACTGTTAGAAGCCAGAAACCCCAGGATCTGGAATTACAGGTGGTTGTGACCTGCCTGATGTGATAGCTGGGAATTGAACTTGGGTCCTCTGGAAGAGCAACAGGTGCTCTTAACCACTGAGTCATCTCTTCAGCCCAGTATCATCTCTAAGGTTTAACTTTCCTGTTTGTGAAAACTATAAGACTTTACAGAAAGATTAGCACTACAATGGATATTATTTTTGCTTCGCTTGCCTGTTTGCTTTTGTCTTTTGAGACAGGGTCTCCCTATAGCCCCAGCTGACCTAGAACTTGGTATGTAGATCAGGCTGGCCTTTATCTCATAGAGATCTGCCTGACTCTACCTCCTGAGTGCTGGTATTAAAGGCACGTGGCACCATGAAGGCACATGGCACTATGACCAGCTGCCTTTGCAATTCTGCTTAAGTACATCACTGAAACCACAAACAGTCATAAGAAGAGTGCTGTACAGTAAACTGGAGTGGACTGTGCAGAGGAACTCATTTTCACATTTTAACCTATTCAAAAGTAAGATGCTGTTCAATACTGGACACACCTTCTTCTTTGCTAGGTGTTCTATGGGGCTGCAAGCCAGCTGGTTCTTCGTTCTCTTGGTATCTCTGAGTCAGTCGAGCAAAAAGAGCTCTCTGCACTGCAGGAAGGAGGCCTGTAGCAGGCAGAGGGCAGTGGCCGATCATGCTGCTGGTATCTGGCCCGCTCCCAAGGCCAGGTGAGTCCTGAACAATGGGAGGCGGCTGCTGTGCAAACTCTTCATGCCATACCTCATCTATAGACATAACAGAAGAGATACTGTGAGCACAAACTCCAACAAGATCTAAGGAACAGAGCTCTAATAATCATCACTTTGGATTCCTAACTTATTATGCAATATTTAAATACTTTAAAATTTTGTCTAAAGTTCTATTGTTCTAAAGGTATTTTTGCCTGGCATGGTGCCACATGCCTTTAATGCACTTAGGAGGCAAAGACAGGCAGATCACTGTGAAATTGAGGTCAGCCTGGTCTACATAGCGAGTTTCAGGCCAGCTGGGGCCACAGGAGACCCCTGTCTCAAAAAGATCAAAAAAAAAAAAAAAACTTTGAGAATTTCATATATATATGAATATATATAATGAATTTTAGTCACTTTCACCCCCCCATTGGTTTAATTAGCCATAGAATATTCTTTGAGCAATTTCCTTTGGCAATATCCTAATAACTCACCATCTTAAATTTAGTAAATTTACTGTTATCCAAATAATTGTCAT